CACTTCACTGGCCACATCCCCGACATATATGACAAACAATAGTGGTCCCAGTACAGACCCTTGGGGAATCCCACTTGAGCATGTGAAAGATGAGCTGCTGTCGCCGCTGATGACGACTTGTTGTTGACGATTTGAGAGGTAGTCGCTTAACCAGTTCAGGGCTGTGCCGGAGATTCCAAGCTGGAATAGGTCTTCGACAAGTGTCTGATGCTGGACCTTGTCAATGGCCTTTGACATGTCCAGGAAAGCAGCGCCAGTTGACAGCCCGTCATCTCGGGCTCTTAGGAATTTGTCTGTAACCATTGTGAGAGCATCTTCTGTAGAGTGCTGGCGTCTGAAGCCAAATTGACAGGAAGGGTAAAGATTATGTTCAGCCAGGTATTGACTGAGTTGCTCATGGACGATACGCTCAAGCAGCTTGGAGACTATAGGGAGCAAAGAGACAGGTCTATAGTTGGTGGGTTGACTGGGGTCACCACCTTTGTAGACGGGAGTGATGTTGGCGATTTTCATGCTCGGTGGCAGCTGGCCTTCGGACAATGATTTGTTGAAGATGAGCATCAGTGAGGGTGCAAGAAGGTCAGCGCATGATTTAATTGATGTGCAAGCCTTTTCTTGCAGAAAATGGCACTAGCATGTTCTTCTGCGGGGAAACATGTGAGTAGTGGTGGACCGTGGTGATACTTTTTTTATACGGAGGTCATTCTGTGCATGTTGCTGTAGCAGAATTTCATGACTGTCATAAAATTGTCTTGCCTTTCAGATATTTCAGATTTCCCCACCCTCGATCAGATTTATTTGAGAAATGTAACCAGGTGCGTGTCGCAGATGTTTTTGTTGATTCTGTGTTTATAATAGTTTATAATCATGGGGTATCGTGATAAGGTCATCCTGCATGATGCAGCATCATATTGCACTGAAATCGTAACCCTGTTGATGTCGATACAACTTTTGGAAGTAGTTCAATGACTTCAAACTGTTAGTCCACGATTTTCTAAAACAACACAGCAAAGGAGGAACAATAAACATGTATTAAAATGTAAACAAATACATTGTTGAGTCCGACACCTCGTTCCAACAACTACACTGATCCCGAGGATAAAAGGGGCAAGGCTATGGTTGGAGGTACTGAGAGATAAACAAGGCACTCCATAATAATAAAATCTTACACATCTTTTGGTGAGTATGAATGATATCCAGTCGAACCTCTTTAGGACGAACACCAATGCTGGAGTCTATTCGGGCATGTGCTTCGCCTGGGTAAGGACACGCCATCACGATTGAGCATGGAGCAATACTTTCAGGCACCCGAGGGGAGGTACCGTGGGAGGCCGAGGGTGACACTACCAATAAAGCTCCACACCGATCTGTCCCAGTCGAACAATGGGCACCTGCGGAGTGTTGAGGACTTGCGCCGTCTGGAGCGGATTGCTGTGGACCGTCCAGCATGGAACGCGCTGGTGAAGAGTGTTTGTGCACACCCTCGTCACGAGTAGAAACAGCCATGGCACCCTTATAAACTCATAATAACCATTCTATAAAAATATTACTATTTGAATCTTTTAATAATTATCTGGCAACTCAACCTCATACGTATAATTATCTGGCCACCCATTGACCATGATGCTACATGAGGAGACAATAGTGATGACATTTTTCCAATGAGACCAATTTTATGACGCTCCATGTTACTGAAGGACTAACTTCGATCATTGGTTTTGTAGAGCCCCATTCTCTAGGAGCTGTCTACATCTGCTTTGTTTCAATGTCCAGCATAAGCGAACGTGTGGATCAAGCATAACTGCTTGGTTGACGCTGCCGCGGGAATGCGTATAATAATAATAAACAAGGGACCGATGGTATTTATTCTGTGAGTTTGTCTTAACCTATTTTATAACCAGTGAATACAATTATTTCTCCAATAATAATAATAATAATAATAACTGTATTAGGATGACCCAAAGGCTGACCGCCTATCGTGGGGTCCGTCGCATTGAAGGATGATGGTACAAGAGAGTACAGATTGGGAAGGGGGGGGGCTACGATGAACAGGGTAAGGGCATGCCAGCGAGTAGACCTGAATACTGACAAGAATGTTTGCGCAGCTCTCTCTTGAATACATGGACAGAAGATTCCCAAGTCAATGTGGGTGGGAGACAATTCCATAAAAGGGAGGTTTTGAATAAAAAAAAGTGATTTGGATGTTGTCAAGGCTTTGGGGAGGATAATTTTGTTGGGGCGTCTCTCACTACGGGAAATATTAAAACTGAACTGAGCCAAGGTGTTCCGGTATTTGAAAATAAACTTGTGCAATGTAACTAGGCTAATGAATTGTCTACGGTACTGCAGTGATTCTAGTTTGGCGAATGCGTTCAGATCTTGCTTTGGCGTGTCGAAGGCAAATCGAAACTTACGCCGTCGCAAGTACGACCTGATGAATCTTGCTTGGAGTTTGTCTAGCTCACACAGATCAGAAGCAGGTAGCCGGTACGCCCACACCACAACACCATACTCTTTAACGGGTCGAACGTAGCTCTTGTAAAGGAGCATCATGGCTTTGGGAGTAAGGCGCTGGGCCATGTAACATAGCAACGTAATTCTCTGTTTGAATTTTCCACTCATATCTATGTAATGCTGGTGGAAGTTCAGATTAGCGGTGAAGCGAATTCCCAGATGTTTCAGCACATCGGTACCGTTGAGAGGAGCCCCATCTATTTGGTATGCTGCAACTGTGGACGGCGATACCGACTTGTAGGAATAGCTGATGACAGAGGTTTTCGATGGGGAAAACTCGCCTCCTCTAGCTCGAGCCCAGGTTTGGCACGCTTGTAAATCGGCTTGCAGTGCTGGGCTGGACGGAGTGTGTTCGTATGGGTGGAGTAAAGTCACATCATCCGCAAACAGGAAGGTATGGGAATGCATTATGGTAGTAGGTAGGTCATTAATGTAGATTAAGAACAAGAGAGGTGATAAATGTGAGCCCTGCGGCACACCACAGTTGGTGATCTTCGGTAACGATGTGCATGACCCAACTTGTACCGCTATCTGTCTGTCCTGCAAGTAGCTCCGTATCCATGCAGTGACTTTGGGGTCTGAGAACCTACCGATCTGATCAAGGAGAGTGGAGTGGTTTACTCTGGCTTTGCAGAAGTCGAGGGAGACTAAATCGAAATTTGACTTCTTGTCAATGTAGCATGCCAGATATTGCGTTAGAATAACCAGCTGGTCTGTGGCGGATTTGTCTTTCACATAGGCAAATTGTTCACTGCATATTTTCTTTGTTGCGCTGAGGTATGTATGGAGCTGATTGGCGACTAGTTTTTCAAATAGTTTTGCGATGCATGGGAGAAGGGATATTGGACGATAATTCGTTGGCTGAGTTGGGCAGCCTCTCTTCTTGAAGATGGGGATGATTGTTGCCATTTTCCAAGCCTTGGGACACACACCTTGTTCTAGACTGTAGTTGAACAGGATGGACAGAGGCGTACAAAGAAGATCCGCACATTTGCTGAGAACAGAGTTTGTGATACGCGTGTCAGCACACGATTTGTGCACAGGTAATGCTCTTGCAGCATCGTAGACTTGCGCAGGAGTGATTGCAGTGAACCTGAAGTGATCTTCTTCTTCACTGGCAATGGTGGTACACGGAGGTGGTTGGTTTCCGTGATGAATGTTGGGATTCTGATTGCACTGAGCGCTGAAGAAGCGACAAAGAGCATCAGCTTTTGCTTCGCTGGATGTATGATTTCCAACATCATCCTTTAGGAGTTGTATATCATGCTTCTTGTTGTGGTCCCGTTGTTGTACCCGATCCGTTCCGGGATCGGTTACCCATATGCATTCCCGTACTGTGTACATATATGGATCCTGGTTGTGCATCTTTATCTTTCGTTGTTCTATGTAAATAAACTTTAGTTGTTGTCTGGGACTTGTGGAGTGAAGTCGATCTATGGAGTGCGGGAACTAACTTGATGTTCACTCAGGAACATTACATGGTGTCAGAAGTAGCAGTTAGTCATGTCGTCTGCCAAATTTCCTGTACCTGCCCCGTTCGATTTCTCCACCCCAGAAGCATGGCCACTCTGGAAGACCCGTTTTGAACGCTTTAGTTCTTTGTCCAAATTGGACGAGGCGGACGGGCAACGCCAAGTAGACACTTTAGTTTACTCCATGGGAGCCGAAGCCGATCCTATCTTTGAGTCTCTATCTCTGTCCGCGGATGATAAGAAGAAACTCGACAAGGTACTGGAGGCCTTTGACAAGTATTTTCGCCCGGGTGTAAACGTAATCCACCAACGGACATTGTTTGAAAGGTGTGTCCAGAACCCAGGTGAATCCGTGGAAGAGTATGTGCGTCGTCTCCGTGCCGCAACCAAATATTGCGCGTTTGACAAGTCCGATGAGCGTATCCGCGACAGGTTGGTGGCCCATATGACGAACCGAGAAGTTTCGAAGAAGCTACAGCTCGAGGATCACGCTCAGCTGACACTCGAGACTGCCGTGAGCTTGGCACGCAAAACGGAGTCCGTAAACGCCGAGGTCGCCCAGCAAACGCCCCGGGTGAGCCAAGCTGCTGCAGCTACCTCACCGCAACGGAAACAAGGCAAGTCCCCTGCTTACGCAAGTTACGGATCGACGGGAAAGCGACCACAGGTCAAGTCCCAACGAGACTCGAGCAACAGTAAGAAGTGCTCGTGGTGTGGCTCCTCCAAAGACCACAAATCGAACCGTGACGAATGCCCTGCCAAGGACAAGTCTTGTAACAAGTGTCGTAAGTCTGGACACTTCGCCAGCGTCTGCCGGTCTGCCTCCGCCAGTGCAGCACACAACGATTATGTGCATGTAGCTGAGTTTGACTTGCAGTCGGACCCCGGGCCGTCGGCGAAAATTTCCTTGGAGCTGCTTCTACCCACACCGCTGACGAGCCGTGGATAGTACGACTGGATCTGTGCGGCTCACACCTCGATTTCAAAATCGACACTGGAGCTGATCTCAACATTATGACGCAGGCCAGCTACAACGCTTTATCTGCACCGCCAGTACTCAGTCCGTGCCAGACACGTATGATTGGGCCTGATGGGAACCAGCTCACGATACAGGGTGAGTTCCATACTTGTGCTGTGTTCCGTGATGTACAGTACCCAGTCACTATCCTGGTCATTGCCACTGGTGGTGTCAACTTGTTGAGCAGGCAGACATCTGAACAGATGGGCCTAGTACAACGTCTTCATGTTGGCTCTTCAGATGCCCAGCCGAAAATCGGATGCATGCTAGGCAAGCCAGTCGAGATTGAGTTGAAGCCAGACTGCAAACCATACAACTGTGTAAATGCTCGACGCATTCCAATACACATTCGCCTCAAGGTTCGCACCGAGCTGGAGCGTATGGAAAAAGCAGGTGTCATCACAAAAGTCGAGCAGCCGACCGACTGGTGTTCACCCCTCGTGTCGGTCCTCAAGCCGAACGGTAACGTGCGTGTATGCGTAGACCTCAAGCGCCTGAATGCCAGCGTCAAGAGAGAGAGCACTACCCGTTACCGACCGTGGACGACACGCTCGCACAACTCAACGGTTCTACCATATTCTCTACGCTGGACACCACGTCTGGCTTCTGGCAGATCCCACTCTCCGAGGAAGCGTCGTTGCTGACGACGTTTATCACTCCCTATGGCCGCTTCAAGTTCGAGCGCCTTCCCTTCGGCATAACGAGCGCGCCTGAGATATTCCAGCGCCGGCTACAAGGTCTACTCAGCGATATTCCCAACGTAGCAGTGTTCATAGACGACATCATCGTCTATGCTTCATCGATGGCTGAGCATGATGCTGCTCTGCTCGCCGTCGAGAACCGACTCCGCGATGCCGGTCTGACACTGAATCCGAACAAGTCTAAGTTCAGATGCACGTCCCTAAAGTACCTGGGCCATCGGATCAGCGACAAGGGTGTCCACCCTGACCCAGCTAAGCTGGATGCCATTGAGCGCCTCGCAGCACCAGCTGATGTGGAAGAGCTCCGTCGTGCACTCGGACTCTTCACGTACCTCTCCAAGTTTCTGCCGTCATTGTCGACCGTAGCCGCCCCACTGCGCGAGCTACTCCGGTGCGACGCGACGTGGCAATGGACCAAAGCACATGAGCTAGCTTTCACAGAGCTCAAATGCCTAGCTGCCTCAGCCCCGTGTCTCGCGTACTACGACCCGTCTGCACCGACCATCGTCACGGCTGATGCGAGCAGCTATGGATTGGGTGCTGCACTGCTACAGTTCCACGACAATGAGTGGAAGCCGGTCGCGTACGCCTCACGCACCATGACAGCAGCAGAGAAACGGTATGCCCAGATCGAGAAAGAGCTCCTCGCCTCGGTCTGGGGATGTGAACACTTCCATCAATACCTCTACGGAGCGCCCCGATTTACCATTCAGACGGACCACAAGCCGCTGGTCCCACTAATGAACACGCGTGACCTCGACCGAGTACCTCTACGCTGCCAACGTCTACTGATCAGACTTATGCGCTACGATGTACAGGCGGAGTACGTGCCTGGCAAGAACATGGTTCTCGCCGACACGCTGTCCAGAGCTCCTCTTCCTGACACGCCAGCAACCGAATCTGACCTACACAGTGACTCGGAAGCCACCATCGCCGCTGTCCTGTCGTCTCTATGCAGTCCTACCAAGCAACACGCTCTCGTTACAGCCACTGCTGACGATCCAGTCCTGCAACAAGTAATCCAGCATACCCTCCATGGCTGGCCGACCAAGGTCAACGCAGACCTGGAAGCCTACCGCAACGAACGTGGCTCGCTCTCAGTTCACGACGGTCTGCTGTACCACGGATTTCGGATCGTAGTCCCGGCATCCGAGCGCAAAGCTACACTTGCCACTTTGCATGACGGCCACCAAGGCATAACCAAGTGCCTGGCCCGTGCGAAATCCTCCGTCTGGTGGCCAGGTATCACACGTGCCATTTCACAATGCGTGCAGAACTGCCTGACCTGCACCAAGCATCGTTTTCAGCCGCCAGAGCCTCTGTCTCCAACTGTGTTTCCCTCTTTGCCATGGGAGAGAATAGGAGTCGACCTCTGCCAACATGACGGTCAGGAGTACCTCATTGCTGTCGACTACTTCTCCAGGTACATTCACGCCATCCCGCTACGGAAGACTACCTCTGGAGCCGTCATCAAGGAACTCCACGAGCTGTTCGCCATCCATGGCATCCCTCAAGCTCTTGTGTCGGACAACGGTCCACAGTTCGCAAGTGCTGAATTCGCCGCATTCACAGCCCAAATGCAGCTCACCCACCGCACCAGTAGCCCGCACTACCCACAGAGCAACGGTGAAGCTGAGCGAGCGGTTCGAACATTCAAGCGTCTCCTGAAGACCAACAACAGCCTCAACGATGCCCTACTCAGTTACAGGTCAACACCCCTCGCAAATGGCTACTCGCCAGCCGAGCTCTTGTTTGGTCGTCGTCTACGCACACACCTCCCATGTACAGCGGAATCCCTCGCTCCAAGTTGGCCTGATATTTCCAAGCTAAGGAAGTTCGAGGTGAGGCAGAAAGACCGACAGAGTGAGACGTACGACTCGTCACACCGAGCACAATCTCTGCCACCATTGACCCAAGGCGACCGAGTCTGGGTGCAAGATCTCGCTTCCGAAGCGGTGATTGCAGACCGCGTCTCCGACAGATCCTATATTGTCACGACCGACAACCTGTCCGAGTACCGCCGCAACCGTCGCCACGTCAAGTTGCTACCTGATGTGCAACCAACACCAACACCGCAGTTGAATGTCACTACATCTGCAGAACCTCCATCCGCTGATGTCGAGTTCCAGCCTACCTTGCGCCGATCAGCACGTCCATCCCGGCCGCTGAACAGACTCGACCTGTAAAAGCATTAGTCATTGCTCATGCTATGATCACTCCAGTCGCTGACGCTGATGATCGTGAACTGCATGTAGTATTTGTGTGTCTCTACCCTATCTCCTCTGTATGTATATGACTAAATATTCTTCGAGCTGTTACCTCTGTAACCTCTCTCTCTTCGAACATAAAAAGGGAGATGTTGTGGTCCCGTTGTTGTACCCGATCCGTTCCGGGATCGGTTACCCATATGCATTCCCGTACTGTGTACATATATGGATCCTGGTTGTGCATCTTTATCTTTCGTTGTTCTATGTAAATAAACTTTAGTTGTTGTCTGGGACTTGTGGAGTGAAGTCGATCTATGGAGTGCGGGAACTAACTTGATGTTCACTCAGGAACATTACACTTCTTGCCATCAATATTGCACAGGCGTTTCGCTCGTTTCCACCACAAGTAACCTCCTGTTCTACCTTTGCTTAGTGTTGATGTACCTAGTGCAGACAAGTAGGAATCTCGAGCGCGTCGGATGGTGGTTCTGTATTCGTTTCTACAGAGCGTGTATGCAGCTTTGAGGGTGGGATTACACAAGTCTCGGCGATGTTGACACGCTGTCTGAGTTTCTTGTGTGCAGTTTTTAACCAAGGTTGGTTATTTGCGTGGTATGGTTTGGAAAACAAAATTGTTGATCGACTGATGGCCATGTCTAAGGACGAGCAAAGTGCCAGGCATCTATAGTCGATGTGTGCCTCACCACCAATGCACTCCATTAAAGGCATAGTGTTCAGTCTGGTGCGCAACTTGTCAAAATCAATTTTCCGTTTTTGGATGTCGGTTTTCGTGGTGGTGGCGTTGCATGCTCCTGGTGTTGAAACTGACCTGTGGATGGTAGACAAAGCCGACCACGATATGGAGCATATGAGAGGGCAGTGGTCTGTGAGGGGCATGCCGACAATACAGGTTTTGAATGCTCGTGGCACATTTGATAGTACAAGGTCTAATGATGGGTTTGACTTACGCGAAGGCCGAGTGCCGCAGTTCGTTGATATCAGACACAGTCCAACATCATTGAAAATTGTGTTGAGCTGTCGACCTTCGGCATTCGTCTTGTCACTAATGTTCCATTCTTGGTTTCTGGCATTGAAGTCACCTGCAACCACCACGGGGCTTTGGTCGACGATTTCATGCAATACGGAAATAGCAGCAGTAAAGGACGAGATATGATGACGGGGTGGCCGGTACATACATGAAATAATGATACCGTTGATTTCCAGAGTGATCATTTCTGATGCCAAGTGTTCTAGATCTGCGCGACGACGTACGGAAAGATGTGATGCGCACAGTATGGCAACTCCGCCACCTCCTAGTGTATTCCAGTTGGTTTGGGTGCTGTCTCTGTCTCGTCGGTAAATATCGAAGCCGCGTATTGATACTACTTCGTCTGGGGTGGCCTTGTTCAGCCATGTTTCTGTTAGGCAGAGAACATCGATGTGGTGGTGATCTATGAGGTCAATGATACTAGCTAGATTGGACTACATGCTGCGGCAGTTCAAGGTGCTTAAAATGAATGGGCCTGGATGTATGGCTATATTCTTGGGCTGTGAACGATTGTGCGTGCGGGGTGAAGTGATATTATGTACATAGAGAGGAGAAGGGGGAGGACGAGGAAGCAGGGGCTCAATACATGCATTGTTAGTAGGGGTTGTGAGAATAGAATTATGTACATGGGCAGGGACAACGTTACTTGCCTGTGCCTTTGGGTCAACGTTGTCCTATGCATTGCTGTGAAGAATCTCGGCGAGACGCTCGTCAGTTAGAGGCACCCCTCCTTAGACTATCTGGTCGTACGGTAGTGAGCAGGCCACTTTCTTGCTCCTCAGCGTACGGAAAAGGGGCAACACGGCCTTTCGCGCTGCTTGCTGCTTTGGAGTGAGGTGTATGTATAATTGTGCGCCTTGGACCTTATCGCAAACATTAACCGACGTCGATAAATATGGTGGTAAAGACACACCTGGCAGGATGGCGGTAAACAACTTCATTAACCGACGTCGTCAATGTATGGCACCGGAAGAAACTAGATACCATCATTGGTATCACGTACCCACAACGAATCTCGAATACAGCGCTGTATGCCAGAACCAAGCAGACCCCACTATCCCAAGTCTGCAGGCAACGGAGACTGCTGTGGTTCGGCCATGTAGTGAGGGAAGGCGAAGAATCGTCCTCTTTCCAAGCCCTCCTAATGTCAATCAACACAACAGACATACGACGACCCCGAGGACGACCCCGAGGACGACCTCGTCTGAGATGGATCGACGTTGTCAAGAAAGACTTACAATGCATTAATCTGTCGCTTCTGGATGCTGTGCAATCTGCTTCTGATAGAGCTGCTTGGCTCGAAATTGTTAACAGATGCGTTGACCTCATGCAATGAGTGAAATGCGAACTGTCATTATTATCGGCCTTTTTGAGCTTTTTTTAGCTGAAAAAGTGCTAAAATCTGTTTGCTCATGCATGCGATCACAGTTTTCGAGTGCTCGATGGGCCTTGGCACGCCCCTTTTTCGGTGACAACAAGTAACTTAGTTGGTGAAGCTTGTACCTGGTGTACACAATGCTGCAAAAGTGGGTTTTTTGAACTTTACTTCCTATTTTGCCTTTCGTGGACCCATAAAAACTGCTTGAGCATGCAAACTTGTCTTCGTTCTCGTCTACGAACGTCGATCAAATGCTTGACGAATGGTTGGGTAAATTCAACACTGTTCTAGATGTGGTAGCGCCGTACAAACAACCTGGTAGACCCACAAGACCGCGCAAGAAGAACTGCCCGTTCATTACCCCAGAGCTCTTGGCACTCATCCGCCAGAGGAAATCAGCTTTTCGTCGATATCGCGCCAGTGGCTGCATTGACACTACATTACAGCGATGTTTACCTCTCTGAGAACTCGGTGCAACAATCTCTACCGTCGACTTAGAAATTCCCATTTCCAGAACGTGTGCCTAAAATATAAACAGAGCCCAAAGCTGTTGTGGTCCACTATCAACCACATAACTAATCGATGTCGTTCCCACATCCCTCCTGCGGTTGCAGATGACGAGTTGAACACCTTCTTCCATAAGATAGTGACTGATCCAAACCCCAGGTACGACATCCCAGATGGACCCCCGCCTCAATCTGCATTTGGTATGTTTAAGCAAGTCACTGTAACAGACGTCAGGGCAAGACTTGCCTCCCTCGACAGCAGCAAAGCACCAGGACCCGATTGTCTTCTTCCCAGGATCCTGAAGGCCACATCCAATGTTATTGCACCTTCTATATCAGCCATCTTCAATACTTCTCTTCAATCTTCGACTTTCCCTCATCTTTTTAAAATCGCTAATATCACCCCCATTCTTAAATCCCGGCAGGGTGATCACACCTCTCCGTCCAACTATCGCCCAGTGTCGCTTACGAGCATTCTCAGCAAAATTCTCGAACGTCTTGCCCTTGACCAACTGCTGCGGGACTTCGACCTGTATACTTGTCTACACGATCATCAATTTGGCTTCCGGCCCCAGCGATTAATAGTGCAGGTCATGACCTTGGCTGTAAATGACTGGACGTTGGCTAAAGATGTGGGTCATACAACCGTTGTAGCATTTATTGACTTAATCAAGGCCTTTGATCGAGTTGTGCACCAGGAACTTATCTTTACTTTGCACAGCTTAGGCATTAATAGTTCTGCCCTGAAATGGTTCGCTTCTTACCTGAACGGCCGGTACCAGCGTGTACTGTATAGCCTCTGGAACATCATCTCTTCTCCCTGTAACCCGAGGGGTTCCGCAGGGAACAATCTTGGGTCCCACCTTTTTAACCTATATGTGCGACTCTTACCTGACCTGGCTGCAGGGAGCGGTGCAAAGCTCCCCCCCCCCCCCCCGTGGTTGGCTATCACCCCTCTCTCGCACTTTGCGTGCAAATTGGTCATGAACCACGAGTTGAGTGAAATAAATATAAAAAAGCTCCTCATGTTTGCCGATGACAAGACTTTGTACGCTTCCTCACGAGATCCAATAGTATGCGCCGATGTCGTGTCCTCGGCTCTCGCTAAGCTACACAATGAACTAAGATCACTGGGCATGAGCGTTAATGTTGACAAAACCGTGGTCATAAGGATCTTGCCAAAGAATGCTCCTGACGTACAAAGACCCGTTCTTGTTGAGTTGGGCGGCACTACCTTAAGGGAAGTGAGTGTAATTCGCTGCCTTGGTATCCTTATCGATAACAAGCTCTCATTTGTTCCACACGTAGATCACCTCACCAGCAAGGTGTCACGCAAGATAGGCGCGTTGCGACGCACCTTCCGCCAAATGGCAGCATTTGCCCGTCGCCAGTACCTGCTAAGTGTGATCCAGCCCGACTTTGAGGATTGTTTCCCTGTTTACGCATCTCACCTATCAGCACAGTCCAGGGAGAGATTGTTTACCTTGTTCCGTAGAGCTGTACGAGTTACCTGCGGTGCCTGATATCATGCTGCTGTACCACTTCTTCTTGCTTCTCTTCAAATAAAACACCTTGAATATCGATACATTTATCAATTTCTTACGTTTACGTTTATTTGTTATATTGTTCAGCCTGCATCATGCTTACGCAGTCTTTTCCCTTTGCCCACCTCTAAGCGGTCAACTCGTGGAACTACAACAAACAATTTGTCAATTTGTTTGTATAAATCCATGGTAGGGTACAATTCCTTTTCCTCCAGAGCATCCCTTATGTGGAATGCCCTCCCTGGTCACTTGAAAGGAAGTGAGGACATTAGATCATTTTCTACAGAACTTTTGCACGCTCTAAATGACGACAAATTGACTATATCCCTATATCCCCTCCTTTTTGAAAATGTATTTCACCAATAAAATAAGGCTTGGAATTTTTTAAACATGAATCTCGACGGACTTGCCCCTTCTGTTCATGCATTGCCCTGCTCTAGTAATGGTTCATGACTCTGCCCAGTCCACATTCCTTCTCCGTTTCTCTCTAGTAATGGTTCATG